GAACAGCTGGAGTTGGTGCTATGGTTGCAAGACCCATATCCGCAGAGTCAATATCAAAGAGATCATTTGGACTGATTCCACTCTCACTCAAAGCAGCAAGCAACAGATCTTGTCCTGGCTCCACCATTTCTGAAATACAAAATTAAGAACAGGTGCATAAGTTAAAATTATCCAAAATGAAATCATTGCTTATTTTCCAAAAGCTTCACCTTATCAATGCAGTAGCTTTCAGAAGATGAGGTTAGGTCAGGGACGGGCAATTATTTTGGGCAGAGGGCCGCTTACTGAGTTTTGGGAAGCCATTGAGGGCCGCATGACAGGCAGCCAGGGGCAGATAAATATTAATTTTCTAAATTTTTTAGGGGTCCTGTGGGCCGGATAGGCTCAGCAAGCCACATCTTGCCCACCCCTGGGCTAGGTTATGAATCTGCCAAGTCCTTTAACAGTGCCCCATACAACTTTATTTCACATTTTTTAAATATCTTTATGCAACAAGACTCCACAAGGAAAGGAAGAATTAAAAGCAGCCATATACAAAACACCACCCAATATAAGTTTAAAAAAAAAAAAAGCCAAAACAAACAAAACCCCAAAAACTTCTCTCTAGTTTTTGTAAAAGAAATTTTAGATAGTTCAATTACTACTGGCTAGTAAAAATGTTGAGACTCAAATGCAATTTAGGTTAACAACATCCCTTTAAGAACAGTGGGAAGAGGAGATACTTATCTAGTAGTTAAAAAAAAAAAAATCATTAAAAATTTACCATTGAGGCCATTTTATATACATTTAATGAAAAAAATAAATCATAAAAGTTAGTTTTCATAAGTAGGTCTAGAATAACTTGCAATTACTTGTTATTTCTAAGCAGAATCTCATTGCTTTCCCACAAAGAAAAACTGGAGAGGTTTCTTTAAACAGCAAGTAGGACAAATGGATGACACTGCTATAACATATTCATGGGCTAACGAAATATTAAGAAAAGACTCTAGTTATTTCGAACCAAAAGGCAATTTATTAAGAAAAAACTGTAGTTATTTCGAACAAAAAGGCAGGCCAGGAGGCACTTCATATACAGGGCGGCGAATGAGCTTTTCCAGATGATTTTAAAAACTTTAAAACTGAATCAAATACCCCACGCTGCACATGGAGTGCAATGGTTTCTGCCTCCAATGACAAGTCAGCTGTTTCAAAGCGGAAGACAAATAGCCAAAGTAATCCCACCAGGAAATCAGTTTTTGCTTACACACACATGGCTATTTGACTCCATCTGCCTGCTAGACTTTAAGACATGAGATTATTTCCTAGATTAATCTATCCGATGTTGGGAAGATATCTACTCTGCATTGACTGCTTAGGAGTTATCATCAAAAGACTATTGTACTAAAAAGAAAGAGGCACAAAATTATTAGGGGTTCGCCGATAAAAGATTTTCTTGGCCAATATTGATAGCCAATTATTAACCAGCCATATCACCTGATACTGATCTGATAACAGATTTACACGCATGCAGCCAGGCAGCATGGAAAGCAGCTCCCTGCAGGTAAGTCTGTGGAGAGGAAGGGGTGGGGGAAAGGAGAGATCAAGGCCCCCACAGTGAGGAAGGGATTGGGGCAGGAGCAGGGGGCACTGCCCAGCCAAGGCAGTTAATGGGACCCAAGGCCAGGGCACGGAGCGGGACAAAGCCAGAGGCGGCTCGTCCAGGGGATCAGCATTCTGGCATGTAAAAATGGCAGTGGGGGCACATGAACTAAAGCTTGTTGAATGAGCTTCAGTTCAAATCCCGCCGCCATAATTTTTAAGCAAAGGGACACTTTTAACCAAAGCCTAGCAGAGCAGGGCCAGGGCAGACACAGGCTGCTCACTGTGGGCTTGGGGCTCTCTGCCTGCTGCCTTTGTCCCGGGAGCCCCACAGTGGCTGCAGAAGGCACAACTCACCACCCTCACTACTGCTGGGTGGGCAGGGGGTGTGCAGCTGGTGCAGGGCTCCTGATGGAAAGAAAGCAGGCAGAGAGCCAAGCCCACAGTGCGCAGCCCACATCCGACCTGCACACGAATCTAGGGGGGCACGTACCCCCCGCCGCCCCGCTCCCCACCCTGGGTCCAACAGACTGCCCTGGTTGGGCAACATCCTCAGGCCCTGCCACCCCACCCACACCCCCAAAGGCCCCTTCCCCTCCAGAGACCTACCTACAAGGCATTGCTCTCTACATTGTCAGACTGCATTCCTGACCACGCGCATGTGTGCAGCTGCACACGGCATCCGTGGGGACCGACCAGGAGGTATGTTATATTTATTAGTGAACATTATCAGCTACACCAGCCAAAAAAAGCTGACAGCTGATAACGTTAAATTTTCCTTGTATTGGTGCCAATCTGATGTACAACCGATATATTGGTGCATCCTTAGAAGTTGTAACTTAAAAATAAACAAGTCAACAAACCCAGACTGCATGTACCAAGAGTTCTGAAGACATTTTAGAATGGACCGGCTGAACTGCTAGTAAGCACATAAAAATCAGCTACTACCAAAAAAGTGGGTGAAAGTAAACACTGCATATGATTCTTGAAGAGGCACTCTGGGTAACATGGAAAATTATGAATCACTAAGCCTTACATCTGCACCTGGTAAACTTGTGGAAATTAAAAACACAAACACAATCTCAAAGTTCATGATGGAGATGATCAAGTCAGTACAAGGGCTATTGCAAAGGAAGTGCTTTCATTACTTTATTAGAATTTTTTTTTTTTTTTTTTTTTTTTTTTTTTTTAACAGAAAGGAGACATGAAAATGTGGAAATTAAAACTTGAAAAAGTTTTGAAATGAAAAAAATTAAGTTAGGCAACACTGGGGAAACCTGAGAAACATCAGGGTCAGCTCAGTAGCAAAAAAAGTTGTGTGGGGACACTTGCAATGTAATGCAGGTTTTTCCCCTCAAATAGAAAGTACTCATTTTCCATTCCAAGTAAATTGTATCAATTGAAGAGAGCTAGGCATCACACTTCTCAAAAGAGAAGTGTCAGAATGGAAGAAAAAAAACTATGGAAGTTATAATGGCATTATATGAAATCAGCAGCATACCTTCACTTGGAGTACTGCATTTAACTTTTTTAGTTAACCAATCCCTAAATGGAAGTAGCAGAAATAAAATGAGTAGTTCAGGAAAGATTACAAGAATGAGCAGAGGTGTGAAAAATATCTCATGAAAGACAACTGAAGACTGGGAGCATTTACCATAGATGAAAGAAAAGACAGAATACAAATAATGAACAGTAAAGGTTCAAAACAGAGTTTCTCAACTTATCACCTCTCATAACATATGAACACAGCAATGCTCAATGAAACAGAGAGATGGAAAAAGAGCTCTCTCTCACAAGATTAACCGGTGAGACTCACTGTCAGGATGTATGGAAGTGAAAAACAAAAATCAGATGTTTAAAGTACTGAATATATGCAAAGAAAATCCAGAACCACAAAAGGATTTTTGGAAGATGTTTAAATCCTCATGCTCTAGAGCATGAATCAGCCTTTAACTGGTGTCAGGGAGAAACTTTCCCCAGGACATATTATCTCGTAACTGCTTACTACAGCACCTGCACTGAATGACAGCTATCTGGATTCGGTATAGCAATTTCTAAACTCCTTGAAATCACTACAGTTACTCTTTGCTAGTTGGTGCTATAAAACTACAGTGTTTTCTTCACCACACAAAATGCCAGCTTCCATACTCTCTCTCAACACACCCTCCTATCATTAAAATAGCCTTCAGGATATTTGTTACTAGCAAACAAATTGCAACCGTTTACTTGCATGTCAGTCAGTTTAGACAATGAAAGTCGATTTGCCAGTTTCTGGTTCCTGAACAGCAGGAACAAAGTGGTAGTGTTCTAGATGCAGACAAAAGGGAAATACTAAACACCTCCCAATTTTTCGTTGCCATTAAAGGCAATAATTAGGTATCTAATCTTATATTTTGTGAGACTAGTTACAGAAAACCTGCACCAAAAATCGTAGGTTCCAATGACTCAGTTTTGCTTTAGTATAAAAGTTAAATGGAAACACAAGTGCTGGGGAGAAAAAACTAAATGCAACGAGATGTGGCTTAGCTTCATTCAGGCATGTAATCAAGCCTAGAACATTATCAAGTCAAAACACAGCTCCATAGTCATACAAAGCAGAAGGCTTTTTACTCAGCATCAAGCAAGCGTGATTTCAGCAAGCTTCGCAGCTTAAGGTCAGCAATACTAAAGGCCTGTTCTCCACGTTCAAAAAGTTCCTAAAAAGAGTTGTGAATTCTGTAAGCAGTTCTCCAAGTACTTTATCAGTTGAAAACAGATGACTGCTGGGCGTGTAGAATCTTGTAATGTGCCCCCATGCTGCTAAGCAATGAAACCCAACACGCTAGAAAGGTCATAAAAACTATATATAAAATGAAAAACAGTACAATTATTAGATACCTGGAAAGCAGTCTGCCATTTTTTTCAGAACGCACAAAGACATATAAAAATGACTGCACTATCAGTTGAGGAAGGGACACTACAGAAAAGGAACAGAAAACTCACTACATTGTTTATGATGCACTGTGCTACAACAATACACTAGTTTTTCAAGTTAAGATAAAAGACTAAGCACTACATAAAATCAATTTCTGGTTTGTGGAACAGTAACTGCCAGTATTTCAATGTCATATCTAATATTATGGCATGTATCTATGCCAACACAGATCTGTCTCTCCTTCTGGAAAGTGCAAAAAACAGCACAATTCAAAAACAGGTGTCTAGCAGCCTGTTTCTCCTAAAAGGAAAGAAAAATGGATGATGTGTGCTCAAGCATAGGCTACATTTCCATTTTTGACAGAAAGCCTTAACAGCTGTACACTTTTTTTTTTTTTTTTACTAATACACTCAAATTTAATTAGTTTTACTTCTTAGACATCCAATCATATTTTCAAACTTTCATTTATAAATTATGTTTAATTGTGGCATTACAATTTACTGCATAAACTTATAACAACACCACAGCCAGTCTGATGTAGATGTCATCCAGCCTTCAAGACCACTGGCCGACATGATTTGATGTCTATGGCGTACCCAAAGTCTGAGATTAATGCTTTTGACTGTGAATAACCACTCTATCTGGAATAGTGAAACCCAAAGTACAGTAATTAATCTGTATTGTTAAGAGTATTGGCAACTTCTGTTCCTTTCCACACACCACCCCCTTAGTCCCTCGTTAAGATTTCTGCCATAACTTTCAGGAAAACAACCCCCCCCCCCATTTCAAGCCAATGCACACTTACAGAACATAACTTGTACAATAGCCAAAAGGCCATTTTTTCTACTTTTCCAGATAGTTTCAAATTTCATATCAACGGCCATCTCAATGCATAAAAAAATTTACTTTGAATCCTGAGGCATAATTCTGTGGTCCTAGTAAAAACAGTCAGGATTGTAACTGGAAAAAGATACTTTTTGTAGTCCCTCAAACTGCCTCTTTCTGAAGGCGGAATAAAATGCCAATAGACTGTACAAATGTTCAGAAGATCACTACACAAAATGTGACAGACTCCTCCGGTGGGGCTCCTTCTCCAGTAGGTTCAAATGCACCCACGTAGGTTCAAATGCCTCACGTACTCTCATGTTCAGTTGGGAAAACATCAGAATCTAAGCTTCCATTTAAAAAACAAATTTCTAATCACCCTGGATGCACAGAAGAACTTGAAATTATTAATCAAGTGCAGCCGGTAGTTATGTCTGCCCAAGACTAGAGATAGCTTCTTGTGGAATGGGGATGGAGAAGGGGGAAATGACCGGAAGGTCACAGTTCGCAGTCCGCTAGAGGGGAGCTGGGATTGCTCTTAGCCTAAATTTTAGGTCAGATTGAAGAAAAGTAACTGCCCTCTCCACGGCGTCATCCAATTACAGAATCAAAAACGATTAAGTTTGAGTGCAGATCTTTATCCCCCTTTCTCATGCTTTGGTCAGCAGTGAAAAAGTTGATGGTTCTATTTAAACTGACACTGAACAGAAGTTAGCATTTTATTGAAATGAACTCTTTCAGACTCTCCTCACTCAAATCATTACATCAGGCTGCTCATATTTTGCAGGCTTCTCAAATGTGAAAGCAGAATTGTAGGCGGCGGTCTGAAAAAATATCCAGGGACACCAATCCACCTGACTTTGAGCCTCAAAGTCAAAGCTTTACAAGTTGACACTGAGGCTCAGTGAAAACCCTTTTTTCCCCCTTTTTTTTTTTTAAACAGGTGCCTGCCTTTGGGGCCCGATGCAGCAGTTACAGCTTTCATTAGCTCCTTTTAGCAACAGACAAGCAAAGAAGTTGCACTAAACAGACTTTGCAAAGGGAAGACCAGATCTTAATTTCACGGGGTCAGCATCATTTTAAATTGCAAAGCCCTAAACTTCTGTGAACCTGTGTAAAGCTATGTGCACGCAGACACAAAATGAGAGCTAATTTGAACGACATGTCACCTCTGCTAACAACTCCACTGCTGGCATTAGGCAGATGGAGCCCAAAACCTGGGTCTAAAGAAGTGTCTTAAAATGAAGCTGTGCAAAAACGAAGCTTATTTTCTACCTATGTGGCCTTTTTATCATCTTTACGTTTCCCTCAGCCCGAGGAGGGGCATGAGCACCTGAAAGCCTGCAGAACTTTTTTTTTTTTTTTTGGTGTTTGCGATTTCTTAGTTGGTCCAATAAAAGGTATCCTCTCTGAACCAAGACTTCTAGACTTCCACATTTCTTAAACTAACACATTTTCTTACAAAGGAAAAGAACAAAAAGGAAGAAATCCCAGGATTTCCCGTCCGTCCTCCCCCCCACCCCCGGCCTTGAAGCCAAGTCTTTCTTTAAACCTAAAGGCTGCACTTGCCCGAGTGGGAACCGGCCACTGGAAGAAAACAGAATGCAGCAATTATCACGAAGGAGGAAGAAAATAAAAAAGAATAAATAAATAAATCGGTGGGGAATAAGCTGACAACTTTACGAAGCCTGTGAGCCGAGGCAGCACCGGTGCGCAGCCTTTGCCCCTTCCTAGAGGGAAACAAGGGGTGCAAGAGAAAGCCCCGGGGGCGGCTGTAAAGGCCAGGTGGTTTCCTCCCACCAGCGAGGTGCAGCCCTGCGGGCATTGCCCCGGGCAGCCCCCCCAGCACGTGCTCGGGACATAAACTTCCGGGTTGTGCGGAATCGGCTGCGTAATCGTGTCCCACCAACGGCTCCCGGCGCGGGGCCCCTGGGGGGCGGCCCG